TTTGAAATAGTGATCTATCAACGCACAGCCCAAACCACTGGACGGATCGGGCTGAAATTTGGCATGCAGGTAGATGTTATGACATAGGCATCCACTAAGAAAGGATTTTGATTAATTCTACCCCCAAAAGGATAAAATAGGGGATGAAAGTTTGTATGAAACTTTGTCAATTTTAAACCGATCGGGCTGAGACTTTGCATGTATAAAGCTACTAATACATAGATATCCCCTAAGAAAGGCTTTTGATAAATTCCTACCCTAAGGGGATAAATTAAAGCGAGCGAAGCCGCGTAAATTATTATACATATGCTTCTAAAATATTAGTATATAATGCAACGTTGGCAATTTTTTATATTTATTTATTACAGTATCACAAAAATATAAAGTACATGCATACAGAGTGTGGTTGAGTTTTTACATTTTTTTTGAAAGGACATGGCAATATGTCACAACATACCTATATTATATATATATATATTTATATACAACAGAACCTCGTAATATAATAATTCAAATGTCAAAAATATATCCTTAGGACAATATATAAAAAATGTAAATTACAAAATCTCATCAAAAACTAAAATCAATAACTAAAACTATTAGTATTATTATTTATTTTATTTATTTATTTTCAAACGTACAAATATTACAAATTTATTATACATTGGACCCTGCACCAGGCGAACCTGTATCGCGGGAGTCCACAAAAGAATTGCCGAATAATTATTAACTATTACGGATCAGTGAGTTTGACATATCAGACTAATTAAGATTTTTTAGTTTGATTTAATAAAAACAATTGTTGACTACATAAAAATTATATAAAATAAACAGAGAACACAAAATAAAAAGAGAAAATTTCAAGTTCAACACATTACAATTTTTTTTATTGATTGACAAGAAGTTGCCATGTGCCATGTTGAAGATGCCTCTGACTTATTATATCCTTAAAAATATAAGATTCACGCACTTTGTAATGACCTCGATGGTATAACGGTTTAACACACCGCTTTACTTCCGATGGTCGCAGGTTCGATTCCTCCTACAAACATTTGTATTGATGAGTATGACTGGTTGTATCTGGATGTTATCTATGTATATTATGTACTTGCTAAGCCCGCTGTTTCACCCAAATCTCAACCTCAAATATAGCCTCTGTGTTATTATGATGCATAAGCTCTGTTACAGTAAAGTTTCACCAAAAATCATTTAATAGTTTTTGCGTGATAGAGTAACAAACATCCATACATACAAACCTTCGTGTTTATAATATTATTAATAATTGATTGGCAACAAGTTTAAAGTCCTGACTTATAAGTATAAGTGTCACTTTATACATATTGTAAGCCCCGACATAAAATATATATATATATAATATATAAAATCATCATCATCATCATCATCATCATCGCAGCCCGGAAGACGTCCACTGCTGGACATAGGCCTCCCCCAAAGATCTCCACGACGATCGGTCCTGCGCTGCTCGCATCCAATGCCTTCCCGCGATCTTGACCAGATCGTCGGTCCACCTTGCTGGAGGCCTTCCCACGCTGCGTCTTCCGGTCCGTGGTCGCCACTCGAGGAAAATATATATATAAAATACCTTCTTCTTATTTTAATATATAATATAAAAGTGATTATTATAAAATTGAAGAGTTTTTAAATGAAAATAATGTTTTTGTAGAAAAAAATTAAATTCATAGCGCTGACAATATTATCTGATTGCACTAAGCATGAGTGCGTAGCGGTTTCTAGATTGATTATGCATGCCTCTTACTTGTTTTTTGTGTAATTATTTATTTAGAACTAGCTGTTCCCGCGACTTCGTCCGCGTGGTATTTAACTTTATATTTCTAAAATAAAAGTAGCCTAGTAACTCCTTATTACATCAGCTACCTGCCAAAACAGTCCCGTCAAAATTGTAATATTGAAATAACCGTTTTTTACTACATGCATATGAATATAAATACATACAACATACATTTTTACAATTTTTGTCTGTCTGTCTATTTGTTCCGGCTAATCTCTAAAGGCTGGACCGATTTTAACGGGACTTTTATTGGCAGGTAGCGGATGTAATAACGAGTAACATAGGCTACTTTTATTTTTAATTTAAATTTATTTATTCAGATAACAGAGATCCAATTTGTTAGTAACAATTGTACTTAGCCTATGTTAGTATATCTAAAATTACATATTATCATTTAAGGGCCCCCGTAACAATTTGGGTCCAAAAACAAAGTATTGGGCTATCAAATTTATTGCACAGCATTTTCGGGATGCTATTACTGCTGCCCCGCAGTCTGTGCAATAGAGAAGCGATTCGTTTGCGTCTGATGGCATACAGGTCGTCTGTTGATGCTCCTGCAAACATTGTGGATGCACTACAAAAACGCGGCAAACGCAACAACATTCTGAAAACATTATTGTATTGAACTCGCAGAGCGCTGTATGCCTGCTGTGTATAGTTAACCCACAAGCTGCTCGTGTAGAAAGATTGACAGTAAGCTTTAAATAATGTTATTTTTACTTCAGTCGAACAGCGAGCGAACCTGCGAGATAACATATTACCCCTTACAGCCAACGCTCTGCGTTCACGTTCAATATCAGCGTTATCTTTCAGGTCGTCGGTAATAATATGTCCTAAATATTTAAATTTGGCTACTCTATTAATAGGCACACCATACAACATAATTGGTGGAATTGTAGGATTTTTACCACCTAAACCAAAAAACATAAATTCGCTTTTATTTGTGTTATATTTCAAGCCATGTTTCATGGTATACTGCTCACAAACATTTAACATTTTACGTAGCGCACTAATCGATGGACTCAGCAGCACCATGTCGTCAGCATAACTTAGATTATTAACGGCAATTCCATCTATGTAACAGCCAGCATGCATACTGCTAAGTTCAGCGATCAGGCTATTAATGTACACATTAAAAAGTGTGGGTGAGGATATACCACCTTGTCTCACCCCACACTCCAGTTTGTACTCATCTGAAAAACAATCCGCCCATTTAATAATGTTAATTTGGTTATCATACCAGTACTTAAATATTGTAACAAGTTCACTGGAAATATTTTGTCTCTGAAGCTTCTCCCACAGGATCTCATAAGATACCATATCAAAAGCTTTAGATAAATCCAAATAACAAGCTATTACAGGTGTTTTACGGTCTAAATAATACTTGACAGTGTGCTTCAAACAGTATATAGCAGTTTCAGTAGAAAGGCCAGGCTTAAAACCAAACTGAGCCTCATGTATACTAAGAGTATTTCTCAGATGCGAGTTTAATAGACTGTCAAATATTTTAGCCAAGATAGTAGCTAGTGAAATAGGGCGATAATTATTTTTTTCACATATATTACTTGCCGTACTCTTTACGACTGGTACAACAATAGTTCTCATGAGTTCCTGTGGTAGATAGCCATGGCCTAGGCACAGAGAATAAAACATAGCCAGTACTCTGGGCAGATGACAGCCTGCATTTTGAAGATGTTCAATACTTAAACCGTCATGACCAGGTGATTTGCCCCTTTCCATATTATTTATTATATTTTTGACATCTTTAGAGGTAACATGTATATTTCGATGTGAAACCCCAGAAAAAATATTATTTTCCACGGTTGATGGCGAAGGCAAGGATAACAAAGGCGAACTTAACTGAAAGTGATGTTTAAACAAGTTGGCAATTGTTTGTGGATCTTTTTCAGAATCAATATGCTCTGCAACTCTTAGTTTTATATTTTGTTTATTTGTACATTGCCAAAATTTTTTAAATTGTTTCTCAGAACGATATACAGCCAACATATCCATTTTAGTCTGTTCAGAATGATCCTGGCACCATTTCAACCTGGATTTGTATATTTTACGACTGAGAACCATATTTTCATGTAAATAACCAGTTAACGGTCTACCATGCCAAACCCAATTTTGAAAGTGAAACTTGGCCTCATTATGTACACCCCTCACAAATCTGTTCCAGCCTGGTAATGGTTTTTTATTTTTCCATCTGTTACAATAAGTAGAATTATTACATTCAGAGGCTGATTTTTGTAAAATTGTTACAATATTAGTATACATTTTATCTAAAATTTTACGATGTTCTAAATTATGACAAATATTATCTGCACATACTTGGAATTCCCGTGGGAAATCTATGGTTTTTAAGCTATTATTACATGCAATACGGTAATTGTCAATTTGTTGAGGCGTTCTGTCACCCCAAATTATTTTATTAGGAGTATGCATCTTTAATTTTGTCTTATATCTAACTAAACTAAAATTAAATTCAATTTCCATAGGAAAATGATCCGACCAAAATACATCATACTGAATATTTACTTTAACTATAATATTACTGTTTAATTTTGTAGTAATGCAATGATCAAGCCAACGAAAACAACCATGACTATCACTGATAAAGGTGTAAGTATGAATTTAAGCCCAGATGCTCAATATCAGCGCATCTCCACTGCTGTTCCTCACTGAAATCCATAAGTTCCTTATAAAACAGACCTCCCGGGTGGGCGTTAAAATCACCCAATATAATAACTGACTCTGTTTCACTACCATCTATAATTGCATATATTTCACTTAAGCACTGCGTGAATTCAATTAGATTTTCAGTTGATTCCGTAGGCATATATACACAGATTATTAACACTGAGCACTCACTGTTTATCATAAACTTACAGGCGATTAAGCGGTCATTATCGCAATCCAGAAAAGTAACAGATGAAAAAGCGTTTTTTCGCCATAGAATAGCTACACCGCCGTAAGGTCTACCTCTTAGTATGCCGACTGATGTATCCACCGCAGACTTCCCTGTGTACGAGAAATCGTCACTTATTGTCCCCAACAAGGGAATATCATGAGGCAACAGCCAGGTTTCTTACTATGTCTTTGTTGCATAGCGATCTTACACCTTCCAAAGAACGTTTCAACCCTTTGCAGTTGAAGCTCATTATTTTGCTATTTTTATTGTCGTATATTATTGTTGTTTATTAAGTATCGTGTCCGGTCGTCTATCCGCGGTCCCGTACTTCTTGTGTACAAACCGACGAAAAACAATACCCGCTGGCCACAGTGTTTCATTCAAAAATACAGACAATTTATATGTAGGTACAAAAAATTTGTAGGCATTATATTTGTTTTCATTTTTTATAGACAACTTAATAAGTGTCACTTGTTCTCCTGTTTTGTTGAGTATATAATCCACAATACTCCGTTCGGCAGTTTCTTTATGCACATTAGTTATATACATAGGTACTTTTTTGTCCGCCGCCTTAAAATTTAACTCTCGGTCACAGACAGCCTTCCCTATTTTACCAGTGAAATGGTTTTTATTGCGTTTATGTTTCTTTACTAAGGTCCAATTTTCATTATTCTTATTTATATTATCTTTACGCACTATATCGGCCATAGATAACGTTTTCTTTAAGGTCACAGAATCACAATTACTCTTATTATCATTACATGTTGTCGGTGACTCAGGCGAGATGAGTACAATACTCGGCTGTGTGTTTAAAAGCGGTTGAACTACCTGCGAGTGGCAGGCGGCTTCGCCCGTATCTATGTATCCAGTATTCGAATCAGCTGATATATTTTGCGTAATTTCGGATTGCATTTTTCTGTTACTGCTGTCGTCTTGTTGTTGGAATTGACAACGGGCAGCAGAACTATCTATGTTAGCGGTACTGTTGCTATTGTTTAATAATAATCCTATCGGACCACTATCTAATTCACAATCATCACGATTAAAATACCCTCCTCTTCTTGTATTTATATTGCATTCAAAATTATTCACAATTGATGCTAATTTTATATTTTCTATCTCTGATCGTAATTGACTCACTTGTTCTATGGTCGCGTAATTAGTTTTCATTAGTTTTAGCTCATTCTGCATTATAATTATATCCTTTAACAACCGTGTTACATCAATATGATCAAAGGTAACGGGGGGTAATCGGTGAAGTTCTTTCGCCACAAAAATTGGAATGTTTTCAGGATCCACCGCTTTCAGAGTACTAATAATATCTTGAATATTACGTTGACATTTTCTATCACCTTTCCTCGTTATTTTCTTAATTGAAGAAACAGAGTCGAACAGCAAATCCTTAGCCGCATCAATTTCCTTCTCCGTGAAGGTGTCTATGCACAATCGTGTTATGCTCTCTTCATCCATCACGTCGATTTTCGATTGAACGAAAGCCAGCACCTCGTTAATAACTATGTTGCAATGAACACATTTTACAGCAGTTGACATTGTCAACATTTAATTAATTAACGTACAAAAGATAAGAGCGCGTGCGCACCGTACGACGTCACGCAACGACTGACATTTTAGACAAATTCTTTTATTTTAGAAAATTTTAAAAAGTTTTTTTTTAAAAAGTTAGAAAGTTGTTTTTTTTTTTTAATATTTTAGAAAGTTGTAAATACCACGCGGATGAAGTAGCGGGTACAGCTAGTCCATAATAAAACAAAAGTGTACAACAAAAGCGCAGTTGAATTTGGAAGCATTTCGAATTCGGGAAAAAACGCGAGGTAACGGCCATTAAAATAATAACTTATTCCACGGCAACACCGCCTAACTTAAATTTCATCAAGTTCGCGGGTGGAGAGAAAAAAAAATAATAATGTCGTGACCTTTTTCGTAAATTCCTTTATTACTGCGCCGTGAGGGATGCTCTCGCCATCTCATAAATCAGGGGTTCGCACAAAAACTAACTAAAAGTTCGCCACGCGAAGATGATGGAGAGACGCGCCGTTTTATTCAGTTAATGCTGAAGATAACGACCTAATTGGTAACGGTGCAAAGAGGTGCTAAGGGGCGAGGATTATTAGAAAAATGTCCCGAAGTTTTCAGTAGAGTACGCGAGGCGCGTATGACTCACTTTATAAAACTTACTTTTACACTATATATGTGCAATATATTATATATATAGCGATTTCTATGTTGATTGTCGCATACCTCTTACTTGTTACACTGTAATTATTTATATAAAAAAAAACATCTATTAAAAAGAGCAACACACAAGTTTCTTGCTCATTCTTCTTGTGATGAATCTGCATTCCGAATGAGTGGTAGAATCAAAATATGACTATTCAAAAGTGCTTGTAATGAGTTTATTTGAATAAAGATTATTACTATTTCTATTTCTATTTCTATATAGTCGAAAAGTAAGTTATATGTATATAAAATATATATATATGTATATAATCTATATGTATATAGTATATATATAAATTCAAATTAAAAAATCTTTTATTTATGTAGGATGTTAAGTCCTGATAGCCAAAAAAGTAGTGGACTGTGTTTATTCATCATCATCATCATCGCAGCCCGGAAACGTCCACTGCTGGACATAGGCCTTCCCCAAAGATCTCCACGACGATCGGTCCTGCGCTGCTCGCATCCAATGCCTTCCAGCGATCTTGACCAGATCGTCGGTCCACCTTGCTGGAGGCCTTCCCACGCTCCGTCTTCCGGTCCGTGGTCGCCACTAGAGGATTTTACTGCCTCAACAGCCATCTGTTCTACGAGCTATGTGCCCTGCCCATTGCCACTTCAGAGTCGCAATTCTTCGGGCTATGTCGGTCACTCTGGTTTCTCTGCGGATCTCCTCATTTCTGATTCGATCACGCAGAGTAACTCCGAGCATAGCCCTCTCCATTGCCCTCTGAGTGACTTTGAGTGACTCTGAGCTTGTTGATGTTGGCAAAACACACATTGGTCGTAAACCTTCGTCTTGAAACACTACGGAAATTCGGACGAAAAGATATATCGGAGCTTCCCGAACGCTGCCCATCCGAGTTGGATTCGACGATTGTCCTCTTTCTCGAAATTGGATCTACCTAGCTGGATAGTTTGCCCTAAGTATACGTAGTGATCGACAATTTCGAGTGTAGAATCTCCGATTTTTACGGGAGCAGGTACGACATGGACGTTTGACATAATTTTCGTCTTTTCCATGTTCATTTTAAGACCTACTCCTTGTAAGACTCTACTGAGGTTAATTAGATATTATATATATAAAAACTGTTATGAAATAAAGATAGATACACATTAAACTTAGAATTAGAACGTCATACTCGTGAACAGGTGCTGCTTGTGGGGACTGGTCTGTTCAGGTTGTGAACACTGATTAAATTTTTTGTTCTTTGCGATAGCACATGCTGGTGGTCACTCTATTCTCCCAAATTTGAATTTTAATAACTGTATTTATCATAAACATGCTCCACTATTATTTGAAAAAAAATACGAGCTGAGTTTCTTGTCAGTTCTTCTCATCTCGATATCATTCCGAACTGACGGTAGATTTGACATATCATAAGAGTCTGTAAAAGACCTACATGAATAAAGAGATTTTGAATTTTGAATTTTGAAATAGTGGGATGATTTAGTAAGCCGGTAAGTGTCGGTGCGGGTCGGACAAGAAGTGCCGGTGTCCGCCAGCGGCCGCAGTTGCCATTGCGCAGCACTGCCCGTGCAGCCCGCGGAGCGGTGCGTTGGGTGCATAGACAAGGATATTTTAGCCACTTCTAAACGTTAAATTTGTTTATATTATTATTATTTCCCTACCGTCCAGTTAAGTATATAGATTTAATTGAGAAGAACTGACAAGAATCTCACTGAAATTGTTTTTTTTTAAAGCCATATATATATAGACATATATATATGTTACTAGCTGCTCCGATAAACATTGTTTTGCCATATAAATTAATAACGCTATAAAAAAATAGGGGTTGATGATAGAAGGACGAAAATTTAGGATTGGATGTATTTTTGTATGTTGTATCATAAAAAAATAGAAACTAAAAATTTTGTCTAAAAAATAAAATAAAAAATTTAGGGGTGGACTACTCCTACTATCTCATCGGTGAATAAGATCCCATCCATGGAGTCTCTTAAGCCTTCTGCATTGCAATGGGTCTCGTAGTGCTGTTGGAAGGATATTAGTATGCGCCCCTATCGGGCTAAACTAGGCCTATGCACGACAAGTATCTGCAGATTCTGCCAAACTGAAGAGGAAACGCCGCTTCACATCCTATGTGTTGTAGCCCACTCATGCATAAACGAAATATCTCCTTTGGAAAGTTTACACTCTTTCCCGAGGAGATAAAAACGATCGCTCCTAAGAATATACTTCAATTCTTGTCCCTGACGGGTCTAGGTAGCGAACTTTGAAAAGGGCGAGCACAATAGATCTATGTAGGTCGCAGTGCTACAGGTGCTACACATCTGACAATAGCCCAAACAACCCAATAAAAAAAATTGCGCCCCTATACGATCTCTGTATGCTCTTGTTCTGTGCTCTATTTCTTCTCTGATTGTTCTCATTCCTGTGTACTCATGCAATTCTGTTGTTCTGTTGAATAGAGGTGCATCAGTTATGGTTTTGAGCGCAGGCAGGTGTACCATTCCATTATCATCCTTAAAAAAAACAGATAGCAATATATGTACCACACAATTGCTATAAGTCTATGGTATTTATGTATATAATACTATAATATTTATACCACAAACAATTGCTATAAATTTTCCATTGCAACGCGAAATGATTCTAAGTATCTAATAAATTGCTTATTATGAGTGTTTTGTACACACACGAAGTTGCTATTGGCAGTTACGGTGATGATATACGGGGCTATATTGTGTATGTTCCCGTTCTATATTACTATATTCATATATAGTCTCACGACTGTAAAGCTAGGTAGAGAAATATTTAATTGATGATAATAATAATATCTCAGGACAATTCACACAGCGCCATCTAGTCCTAAGTTAAACTACCTAGGGATTGTATTATGGGTACAAGATAACAGATATTTAAATACATACATATTGTAAATAGAAAACACCCAGACCGATACAAACATTGACTCAACTCAACACTCAACTCAAACCTTACACAGTACAATCATTTGTATTCATGAGTATAATATTATGAATACAAATTATTGTACCGTGTGAGGAATCGAACCGGCGGCCATCGGAAGGTGGTGTGCTAAACCGCTAGATGACCGAGGCAGTCATGGAAAGGCTGTCATTATGGAATGTTATTCTCACCTGCATTAACGGTTTACACTGGCGGGGCATCAGTGGAGGATGATAAGATGAGCATGAGGTCAGATCAGTTAGCTCATCTTGATGTTAGTCCATATTACTAATAACGCCCCTCCTCCCAATCAGAAGGATTGTCATCTTTGACGGCCTCGGTGGTCTAGCGGTTTAGCACACCGTCTCACTTCCAATTGTCGCGAGTTCGATTCCTCGCACGGCACAAACATTTATATTCATGAATATGATTGTATGTATCGGTCTGCGTGTTTTCTATGTATAATATGTATATATTTATGAAAAAAAATATGTATTTGTATCAGTTATCTACTACCCATAACACAAGCTTTAGATTGCTTAACTTGGATCTAGATGGCGCTGTGTGAATTGTCGTGTGATCAACCTGAGCCGAGGTTCTAACCTCTAGCAGTGCCCTCAGACTAAAGTCGTATCAGTCAGGCGGGAGTTGGTCTTCAGCCGGTCCATAAGTCCTTCTGCGGATTTGAAGCATCATCTGTACTCACCTCCTACCGTCCGATGAACCTGTAAAGGCTGCCTTCAACAGCATTAGAGTAGTCTGAAAATAAAAAAATATGGTAAAGATTACGATTTGCCTACGATCTATAGGATTCACCCTACTTCTCAATCGATATTGACACCAACTTTAAAGTCGTGTGTAGACACTTTTAGTTGCAATTCATACCACGGGCCCCACATGAAATGTTGGCAGCACAGCAGGTGGTATGTAGTACATTGGTTCAATATGTTTACAGCCATTACGTCCTGGCCAATTGCTTTACAACCTACTCAAAAATCTACGCGGATTCGATTGTGACCTACGCGAAATTTCAAATATTTCTCATGATATCTTCCCTTTGATTTGTCTGATGGTCTAGCGGTTTAGCTAATTAAACTTCCGAAGGTTACAGGTTCGATTCTAATTTCCAACTTTTGATTGGCCACCTCGGTGGTCCGGTCTGTGTTTTTTTATTGGAGGTTTTGGACTATTGTCAGGTGCTAAAAACGGGAATCGAAATTACCACGCCCTGAGCCGAGGTCCGAACCTCTAGCCTACCTAGCCTACCCTACTTCTCAATTAACATTGACACCAACTTTAAGGTCGTGTGTAGACACTTTTAGTTGCAATTCATGCCACGGGGCTCCCATAAAATGTTGGCAGCACAGCAGGTGGTATGTAGTAC